CACCGCGCCCAACACCCAAAACGCAGCCTTCCTCTCTTCCCTAGTCGAGGCCCTCGAATCAGACATCTCCTCCCCGCCCACCGAGATCCCGGGCGTATCCCACGAGTACCTCGACTCCCTCGACCGCGTCCCCAAGAAATCCCTAAAGGAAGACGAGGCCTGCCCGATCTGCGCCGAAAAGTTTCTCGACGACAAGTACCCGCTCGTCGTCGAGCTCCCCTGCCACAGCAGCCACCGCTTCGACCTCGAGTGCGTGAGTCCCTGGTTGAGGAGTAAGGGCAGCTGTCCCATGTGCCGCAAGGATTTGACCAAGAAGAAGGAGCCTGTTGTTGTGGTGGATGATGATGAGGAGAATGATGATCCTGATGGATTGTATGCTTGAAGGCTGCCAGTGTGGCTTAGGTGTGGATTGGGATTTGCGAGAAGAGAGAGAGAGAGAGAGAGAGAGAGAGAGAGAGAGAGAGAGAGAGAGAGAGAGAGAGAGAGAGAAAGAACGAGATATCATCGGCATGACGATCGGCAGACGACAGGCGCGCGGTGGGAAGGGGAGTAGGGGATATATCGAATTCGATTGGAAGTGAGTGGTTTGGCGTTGAGGCTGCATTTGATATTCCCCGTGCATATTACGACGACTTGAGAAGAGTTGGAAACCGAGGGAGAAAAGGAAAAGAAACACAAAAAAATACAAAAAAACAACAATGGGACGACCGATCGAGGAATCGAACTTGGATCCCGAAATAGACAGGAGTCTTCACTGCCTAACCGGGGCCTCTGCAGCCCGATTAACCCCTCGACCATACGGCCCAGGTACTTGTTGTTGACGAGTGGTGATGATTCATCGGCTATGGAGCCTCGCGAGGCTGTCTGATGAGTATTCTGCGGCGGGTAGGTCATATCCCAGGCGGTCAAGGTAGTGAATCACTCGGGTGTCCTGGATCACACATACACTAGCCCCGCCTTCAATTTCCATACGTATAGCACACGAGATATCTAGGTCCATGGTAGGGAGCTAAGTAATGCGCATGGTATATATCAGGACTGGGGATTGATAGCTCAGGATACACACACACACACACACACACACACACACACATCTGGCTTGAACCACCTAGGTAGGAGGCCTGCCTTATCAGAAGTCTTGTGCCTTCCTGTCCTAACAACAAGTATCGGGCCTTGGTGACCGAGGGGTGAAAGCCGTGAAGTGCTGACTAGTGCGTGATGCTCCGTACTCTTCAGGTCTCCGGCGCTCGAACCTCGGTCGGCTCCTGTTGTTTTTGCTTTTCTCTGCTCTTGTGACTGTTTCATGGAGATTTTGTCTTGTGTGCAGGCAAGCAATCACAATTGTTTATAGTCCAGCACCAAGAAAGATGCCGGGTGAGCTCAGAAACTGCCTTCCGTGTTTTCTCAATGGTCATGTAATTAAAAGCCGAGACAGAAACGATATCTCTCCCGGTCCTGATGCTGATGATACTGATATTTTCCGTTACCACCTCTGCCATGCCATGCCATGCCACCTTCCTCCTCACCTCCCAGTCAATCCCAACCCCCTTCCTTCTCGCCATGAATCTCCCACCCCCTTCGCCAACACTCTCATCACGACAAACCCAACACCAAGTTTTCCACTCCACGAGAGCAAACCTCACGCCTTCCCAGCCTTGGGCGCGCTTCCAGCACCACTACTCCCCTCACCGCCCCCCTCCTTCCGCCCAGCACCCTTTCCGCCCGGGTTATCCCCCTGCGGCTTCGACGCGGCCTGGTTCGCGCCGCTAACATCAAGCGTGCCGCTGTCCTCGCTCTTCTCTCCCTTGGGCCGCGTCGTCGACGGGTCAAACGCCTCCTTCTCGTGCGCCACCTCCGTGTCACGGCCCGTCTTGGTCCCCTCATTAGAGGCCGGGTTCAGGGACTCGCGGTCCTGGGTGTCCTTGTACGCGAACCTCGTCGTCGAGGATGCCGTGAAGGGTCTCGTCGCGGTCGCGGGGATCGAGGCGCGGCATGACGTGCGGGCCGCTGTTGCGCGGAGGGTCAGGGTGCGGAGGAGAGCTTGGGAGGTCATGGTTGTGGTTTTGTGGTTGTAGTTTTGTGGTTGTAGTTTTACGGTTTATGGTAATGGGGGGCGAAGAAGTATGTTATGAACCAGAGAGGCTGCGTCTTTCTCGGCGTGGAATTGTAGTGGCAATTGAAGAATTGAGGTTCCGAATGATGGAAATACTCTGCGTAGAGGTTAGCAAATGAATTGCAATCACGACATAGGACTGTGAGGGAGGAGCTACCTTAGCTACGTCGAGATGCTCTCATTCGGGACCGTGACGTCATCCATACGTTTAGCCAGACCAGACAGGTGCGACTCTGGCCACTTGCGGCTTACCCCGGATTCTCATCAAATCAATAATCATTCTTATTTTCACCACCTACTTGCATGATAAGTCTCCATCCTCGGACTGACTGCATAGTCAGCACAGAATGACATGTGTATACCGCGCAATTGGACCAGGAGCTGGCGCCAACCTAGCTCTTCCAAGTGCCTCTAGATACTGTAGCTACCCATAAGCTATTCCGGTGAGCTTAACAAGATCTCTTCGTGTCACCTTGCACCACCAGCAAATCAACTTTGAAGCGGCTCAATCGCCGACAGTTGATGCCCTGCCAAGAGCTTGAGCTTCTACGTTTGTTCGGAAAGATCCAAAATCTTGCGCCGTCTAGCGTTTACGGCCGAGTTGACCAGACGGCGCTCTCTGGAGAGCGCCGCATTCGGACTTGGTCTTGACGCCACACACTGAATGGAAGGCTTGCCTTTATCAAATCGTTTCGATCTCGGTCCAATCCGGTAGAAACTTGGCAACATGCGTGTTCGTCCACGGGCAACAGAGAAGGCCTAGACGACTATTGATTGGTCTTGTGGTCGTAAAGTCGACTTGCGCCATGTCTGCATCCCATCGAGGCAGTCTGATCGATATAGTATAATATCCTCATCCCCAATATTCCTCTTTCATGCTGACTGTTGACGTTTGAGATTGCTAGAGATCGCATCACGTCCAACAAGAGCGACTAAGCCGTTGGGAGCGGCTGACCAAGGGGCTCAAACGCCATGCTGCGATGTTGTCGTTGCTCTGCACATTATTAGCAAAGGCCTGACTGTCGCTGTCGCTCCCCGTGTCTGAAGCTGTAGATCTCGGCCGAAGCGATGCTTGAGCCTATTAGTGCCTGATTCGCTGAATACCTCGGGTGGCGCGGGATGGCTGCGTGACAAGTCCGAAGGCAGTCGGCCAAGCGGACTTGCATCCTTTCAGACATTAACGTTACCACCCACGCAAATTCCGAGGCTTGGCTTTCGGGGTGCCCATTGCTTTGAGTCCACAACTTTTACAAGGACCAAGCCACGATCGTTTGCGCCTCCTCCAGGAACGATCTTGAAGTTGTCCATAAGCCGGGTTATCCACTGCAATGTTCCTCCTAATTCTCGCGGGATTCGGGACTCGACGATATTAGTCCAAACGCCCGGATGTGTGATCCCATTTTGACATAAATAGGAGGCGGCACAGCGCCGATGATGGCGCGTGCAGAATGAGGTTGCAGACAACGATGACTGTAGACCATTTTCAGGTTAAGCGCAACACTGGTTGACACTACCTTATGCCACACCATATGCGGACTGAAATGAGACCCTTGTTTAGGATCCTGCTGGCCAATTCATCCAAAATCTGTCCATGTCAATGTGGTATATGTCGTATGTAAGACGACCACTTACTTGTGATGATCGTTTGTTTTTCTACAGCCTTGTCGTCCGGATAGTCCTGAAGTAAGCAATGCCACCCGCCCCCCTGATGCGGCGAGCCTGACGGCCTTGTGTCTCCCGGCTGACCGGCGAGAGCCGAGATCGTATGCATTGTCAAATTCAGGGCCATGCAGCAAGTTGACATGGTTTCCACGCTAGCCAGGCGAGCTCGAGACCAGTTTTCAAACGGAGAAATTTCAAACAAGCATTTTAGACAGCAGTCCGACTCTTTTGCTGATATGGAAGCAGGGGATCGAGCGTCGCACTCTGCTTCTCGACACGCGACTCGTGAGGGAGGCTGATCGGCCGTATACATGACCGAGTCACATTCACCCGATATTCCCATTTCATGAGACTCATTGTTGTGTCTGCAGCAGCTGGCCATTCGGCGTGTGCGTGCAGTTGTTCCGGCTCGCCACAATATACAATGCAACGTCGAGGGTCGCGCTGCGGACCCAGGTTTGGTTGCTTTCACATGACTTCTCATGTGCCATCAAGCCTTCCAAGTATCAGTAATAGCGACCCCGTTTCAAAAATGGAAGGTGGGCAAGCTTAAATATATTGAATACGGGGTTAGTTTAAAATGAGGCTCCTGACAGACGCGTCGAGATGTCAAAAAATCGATACGACCAATGCGTGCGGCCTACCATGGAACTCGCGGGGCTCCGTTGGCCCCTGCTTATGGGGCCTGCCAGACTAGGCGAAGGGGGCCGACTTTCGCGGCAGTATTGTTTTGGGTTTGAATGTGATCTGCGGGATCAGCAGCGTTAAGAAGCGAGGCCTGCAAAGAAAAGTCCACCACGACGTTATTGCCGGCGGAAAGTCCTCAGGTGAGCCGCGACGGCAGAAGGTCTGCCTGGCTGCCAGCGTGTCATCAGGTGTCAAATGTCGGATAAGGGGGAGCCTAGGGGATCGCGTTGCGTGTTTGACACGGAGATGACCGGTGATGGATGTTCGCGGGTAGGCTCCTCCAGTTGGAACTCTGAAACGGAGCCTGCAGATGTTGGGATGATCTTTCTGGTCGGCATTGCGCATGTTGAGAAGACTGTGCCTTCCATGCCTTCCGCTGCTACCGGAAGTCTGTTTGTGGCATCTTTGTCATTTGGGACTGCGTATATTCGAGATTTGAATCAACAAGAACTTGTCTCTTTCGGGTTACGGCGGTTGCAAAGGGGTGGTTTTCCCTCTCCTTATTTTGGATATTTCGACATGTGCATGTTTGACATGCATGACGGGGCGTGGCGTTGAACGGAAAGGCTGTCTTGTTTGGTCTTTTGCTCCGACAGCGGTTACCATCGCAGCACCTCAGCATGTCGAGGCTGACGTCCCGTCTGCACAGGGTCCTATCGGGACCCGCGTGGCCCAGTGGAGGACAGGCGGGAAAGAGACGAGTCGCTAATCTGGGACGGCAGGAAATCTAAGGGGCAGAATTCTTCCAGAAGGCCGCACAATGTTCCTATTCCATGGACCACATCGGCTCAATGTCTCGGATTGATCCAGCCCTGCACGTCGTTGTAAAGGTGGAACCATCGTCCGTCAAGGGCGAACATGGCGGCACGATGTATGCAACTGGTGTTGAAGAGATACGCAATACAACCATTCCCGAGTACTAGTTGGAAGCGCAAAAAGGATGCATTCGCCGTGGGATTCCCCTACTAAGTCGACCAGCCCTGTCTCGTGGTGGATTGCACGAATACAGGCGGCTACGCACGAGCTTTGGCGTAATGTCGGTGCCGATGAGTCCTGATTAGTAGCGGTCACAAAGCCAGACGCGCCGACGGGGGGAAACATCTCTTGCAGGGTTGGTCCGGCCCACGATGGCCACGAGTCGTACTCCGTAGGATGTCGGACCTGCCAGCCCTGGAAGGAAGTGGAGGTCGTACCTAGCAAGATGACGCATCGGTACTGCGAAATTGACGAGGCTCCATGATACGATATTCTGGGCCGTACTCATAAATTGAAAAGTGTTGTCACGGTGGCTTGCCATGGCCAGCAGTTGGGCCTCTGTAATCGAGTTTGCGGCCGAGCGGCCCAAAACTCCAAGCAAGATTGCGGGAGGTGGGATACGGATACGGCTGCACATTCTTCGCACGTGGCTGGCAAGGATGCCACATTGAATTGTCGCCGCCTACATATTAACCTGGCCTGAAAGCGGCAACGCTCCTATGCGCCGCCCGTTTGCAGGGCGGGATGCAGTTGGCTGTAGTAGCATCCGTGTTTTCTGTGTCAGCTTCTGTGGGTGTAGGAATGCGGGAATGCGCTAGTTTGACGCTGGGTTTCCATGCTCTCTGGGTTGTTGGTTTCCAGGACTGCGTTTTCGTGCCAATAGTGGATCTGACTAGATGGATCGAGGTATTGATTCCAGCGTCTTGATCCAAGCATGTTGCTACTTGTCAGCAGATCCGACGACCGATAATTTGTGGCATTGCGGATCTTCAATGCTCCGGTAGCTCCGCTACGTTCATGATGAATGCTATAGAAACGTTGTACACTCGGAAGCTCGGAACAGGCCCAAGATGGATCCATCGAAGAAAAAAAAAGACAGCATGGAAAGCTAAAGTTCCTAGGCTGGAGGACCGAGATGCTCGAGACTCGGCCGGCTCGCTAGGCCAAGGTCCGTTCGAGACCCGGGGCAGTTCATCGGCGGTTGGCCTCGTGGCGACGGCACCTCAATCTGAGCGGCGGGCATGGCGTGGGACGCCGCGTGCGTTGTGCCCTCTTGTCATGACTGGCCATGGCTGCAGCTGGCAAGGCTCGCGGGGGAGCGGATGATGTGCCTGCGGGCTGAGGCAAGAATTAGCTTCTTCCGATGTCCAGCTAGTGCGATGGACTTTGTCGTTCTTGGGACTTTTTGCCCCAATTCGTTGTTGGCCAGGCTCAGACCTCAGAGACAGAGGCAGGATGGTCTAAGGTAGATGCGGAAGGTTATGCGGACATCGAGAGACACTACGGATTTGGTCAGGTCGAGGCTGGCGGCTGCTGGTCCAGTTGATGCTTGAAATCGACTGGATGTTCGTTCGAGCTGCCCGTTTCAAATCGAGTCTCGAGCCCAATGTTACCGAAAGAGCAGCTTCAAAGTTTGGTTGAGCCCCGGTGCCGACGCAGAAATAGACAGACGCACCGTTGTGCCCTTTCGGTACAGACTTGCTATCCAATGTGAAGTCGATGTCATGGGGTAAACATTCTGATTCTGCAACTATCCGAGGAAATGATGGTTAAGGCCCTCAAGTGATGTGCGATTGAACGTACGTACCATGCGACGAAGCAGTCAGCAGGAATTGTCTACGAAAGGAGGCACAATCATCTTTCTTCTCTTGCTGGAACTAGTTGTGAATATCCGTACCTACCTTACCTTGACATCTGATGGAAACATCTGTATAGGCAGGTACCTCAGTAGGAAAGACTGGACGGAACTCTGAAGGACTATACGGCGTACCTACACATGAGGGAGGTTCCCTCGTCGGAAGGTCCAATCCAACTCACTTTGGCGACAGGCGCACGCTCCTCGGAAGGTCCCAGGGCGCCCAAGGAAACCGACAAATCACAGCAGGCGCGGCCTCGAGGATACTTCGGACCATGTGGATACCTTGGAGTACTTGCCCGTCTCAGCAGGCTTCCAGAGTCCAGAGTCCAGACGCCATTTCAAGTTTGCACCGGACGAGCTGCTCCTGGCTGAACCATGGACCTCAGGTGGACAGCTCCTCCCTAATTTACCCTCTTGTATGTTCATCGCGGGCACTCCGACCGGGCCAATAAGACGCTGCCAATCCCAAGAACACATGAGAGCTCACGTGTAGGTATCCGTTCCTGGCGGATACTTCCGCTACTTTGTACCTTACATTGCCGTACGGTCCACGTATATCCTCTGACATGCAACAGCAACGTTGATGAGGTACCTCACCAAACATCACCTTGCTTTTGTTGCCCGCGCAGAGACCGAGGGCCGGGAAGCGCCGCTTCAAAGACCCTTGGATCCATTTCAAAGACACAGTGTCGTATTCTGCTTGATTTCAGTGGACAGCCGCGTCACAAAAGCAAAATGGAAACGGCCCCAGTCAACCACTGATGACCAGGGGAAGAAACAAACGGTCGCTTGTTACAGGTTTCCATCTGATGGGCCCTTTCTTCTCGGCTTTCCTTCCATTGCTCACATGCTCTACCTTTTCCCGTTGACTACACTGCCACCACCGCCGCAATGTGGCTTGGTTGGAAATGAAATGGCATTCGCCATCTCATACTTCGTACCAACGATCATAAATCAAAGGGCCGGTACTAGGAAAGATCCCGCGGTGACTTCATTTTCCTATTGTGCTCGTTTCTGGAAAGCTCTTCGTCGTCTTCTCAACCAGAACCATCCGAAACCTGACGCCTCTTTGTCTCTTCTTTTTTTTTTCTTCCCTCTTCGTTCCTTCCCGGCCCCCGGGCAGGAGATTTGCTTTGCTTTGCTTGTTTGCTGATCGCGCTTCACACTTGCCTGGTAACCTGGTCAGGTCCAGGGCCTCCATTGGCATTCTTTGCGTCTTGGGATCGGTCTGTGGCTGTCTTGTCGTTGCTTTCTTTTTTCCCCAAGAGAGTCTCGGGTTCTCTAATCTGGGGAACGGGCCAGTTCTCGCAAGGGCCCGTCTCCTTCCCTGTCCTGTCTTGCAGTGCTACTGAGGAATGACACGGTACCATGGCATGTACATGAGGCGTAATCGGGGAGACTGGGAGGCACGGAGAGAGAAAGATAGCTAAAGGAAAGTAACGAAAAGAAGAAGAAAGGACACAAACAGCAGGATCAGGGTATCTCGGTTTGCTGCAGGATGTTGCGTTGCTTTACTACCTACCAGCATCATCCCATCGTGCATGCTCCCTGGCCGAGGATGAGGAGCAAACAGCAGTTCCTCTCTCTCTCTTTCTGGAGACTGGAAATTGGGCCTAGAAGGCTAGAGGCTGGTTTCCTCTGGAGAGACTGAGAGAGACTGAACCATTTTACTCGGTCCATGATCCCTGCCTCGTTGCACAAGCCTGTCGGTTCCCACTTTCGCTCCCACTCCGACTCCCACGTCCATTCCCATTGTGTTTTCCCCCCCTGCCATTCGCAAAGCAACCCGCCCACCCACCTCCCACTTTGCAATTCCAACGCACGAATAGAACAACGTGATGAAGAGATGGACCAAAAGACTGAGGTGAGGGGAGCATGAGGATGAAAGGGACTCACACCGTACAGTATTACTGGAGGTGCTCTACACTACTATCCGTACCTTAGCATGCATCAAATGTACGTGATCCGCACATGCTAACTCAGAAGGAAACTCTCAGCCGAAGGGACGTCGGCACGCTATCAATGAACCTGGAGCAAAAAGCAAGCTTGCACTAGAGCTGACCTAACCTTAGTTGACATACATGACCGATTCGATTCTGCGTCCATCCTGGGCCGGCGTCTTTTACGTCTCTTTTTTTGCTTTTCTCACCATGAGGTGCTTTGCCATGCAGATAGGTAAGGTAGGTATCCGGAGTCATGTATGTAGGTATCCGTAGACTCACTGCTTTAGTTGGTAGTAGGGTCCCAGCGGCGGGAGAAAGCAGGTAGCCTCGGCGCCGGAAATCGAGCCGCCAAAAAGCAAAAGCTAAAGAAACAAGTACAACTTCAACAGCCGGGAAACCCAATCCCGCATGGGAACGCGGACGCGGCGTTGCGTCCCAATTGCGTTCACAGACACGAGACGGGCAGAAGATATTAATCATGGTCCCAAGTAGTCGCCGACACTAGAGGACCAGCGTTCTCTTGAGTCTTGAATATGGCCTGATATGGGCGTTTAACGTACAGAGTAGCAGCGTAAGTATTCTTCCCATCAAGTAAAAAGATGCCGCGAAAGGTTCGGGCTCCATTGAACAGGGCCATTCAGAAATGTAGCCGTGTCTTGCCCACACTTTTCCATGGTTCACAGCAAGCTCACGGGCACAACCTCGAGCACGCGAGCGAGGTACCTCATCGCGGTAGATGCGGTAAGGTTATGTGGATGGCACACGTACCGTCCGGAGCGAGCTATCGTGGTGTACTATGCTACCTATGATTTTGCCTGGCCCTTGCCGATGATGCCTTGCCTTACTTGTTCCCCATTTCATTGGGCTGGCTAGCATCAGCCGGCCTGATCTGGGCCTTCACCGCAAGGTAAGGTACGAGCACGGCACATGGAATTAGAGGTAGGGACTGTGGGATACCATCCGTGCCAGTGTTTGTACCTACCCCCCACCGGGAGCCAGTGCTTGGGGGCGGCTTCGAATTTGTGACAGCGCAGGACAACGACGTGGCGGCTGCTTGTTCTTTCTTCCTCTTGTTTCCTTTCTTGTTGCCGGCGGCGGTTGAAAGTCCTTCTTGAGGCGAACTTGAGGTGGCCCAACCTTACGGTATTTTGCCTTGCCCTGCCTCATTGCCCCTGGAGTAACCAGATAGAGTTACAAGAGCGATGGAAGATGATGTTGTGAACTCGTGCTCACCGCATGTCAAATACCTTGCCTTGGTTTCGTAGAGGCAT